AATCTCAAACTCCCAAATTAATCCCTTCTCACCCCCTTTCCCCGATAAGAAATGACTATTTGACTCTGTTATCATTCCCAAGCATGACTCTGAACTTTATTAAAATGCTGTCTTGAATGCTTTTAAACTTTTAAAAATTATTCTGTACCCATCACTCCATATTTTTACTCAACATTATGACTTTTGATATATCCCATTGTCACAAGGAATTCAAGTCTATTCATTTTAACTGCTGTATAGTATTTCATTATATGAATGTACATTTTACCTACCCTTTCTCCTGCTGGTGCATATTTGTTTTAAATTTTCCTATTACAAAAAGCTTCATTTAATATTCTTGTATGTATCTTCTTGGGGATATATCCAGGAACTTTACCAGGGTGCATACCCACTTTCACCACTAACATGTAAGATCAAGGCCATGATTTTTGTCCGCCTTTTTATTGTTGTACCCCATTGGATTGGATCAGTGCCATGAACACAGTAGGTACCCAATATACACTGTATGATTGAATGAATGAAATTGCTGGGTCAGAGTACACACATTTTCAACTTTATGGGACATTACCAAATTGTTCTTCAAAGTGGTAGTACAAATTACATACTGTTAATGTAAGTCTGTTAATATGATGGATACCATAGTAGTACTGCACCCTGGTTTTAATTGATATTTACCTGATTACTAATGAGGCTAGCATCTTCCCATACTTCCCATGCATTCATATTTATCAATGAATGACGTTTCCCCTTTGTCAACTGCATGTTCCTACTTCTCCAATTGTTTTCACTTTCTTTCCACTTGTCATTTCTTCTTGACTAGTAGTTCTTTACATATTCTAGATTCTAACTATATATACTGCAACTATTTTGTGGTTTGTCTTTTTACATTATTTACAGTGTCTTTCTTGCACAGAAATTTTTACCTTTAACAGTCAAATCAATCTTCTTTTTCATGGTTTGTGCTTTCACAGTCTCACTCATTTTAAGAAAACCTTCCCTACCTGAAGTCGTTCTTTGTATTTTTTTTTGCAGAAGAGGTTAAGTTTCCCCCCTACATTCAGCTATTCAATTCAACAAGAATTTATTTTTGCATGAGGAAAGGATCTAATTTTATTTTTTCAATGTGGATAACTAGAACCTCGATTTAAAAGGCCACTTTTATGTCTCATGGCAAATTTATATATGGTTGTGTGCAGGCACAGGGGGGTATATGTAAGAGAATGTGTGTATGTGTGTTTTTATACATACTTACTTCAATTTGCTCTCTAAAACTAAACAATCAACGTAATCCACACACAGTTCTTCAAACATATGAAGAGTGAACTTATCTGCCACTTCTGAAGTCTCCTAAAGTTACACATCTCTATTTCCTTCAATGATTCCTCCCAGAACAAGGTTTACATCCTCGATGCCTTCTAACCAGCCTCTCAAAGTCCTTCTTAAAATGTCATCCTGAGCCTAACACAATGCTCCAGACACAGTCTGATAAGTGCAAAACACTTTGTTTCAAACCAACATCTTCCGGGTGCCTACTGTTTGCAATGTCCTCTGCTCAGTTAACTTACCCAACACTGTATTTGTTAATGTAATCATTTAGGTTATATATTTTGGCACAATATCCTTCTTGACCTATTCTGAGCTAGCAATCTACTATGAGCAGTAGGACCTCTTTCAAACACACAATTCTTAGCCAGGTCTCATACATCATTTGTTCAGTTGAGTTTTTTCATCTAAGCTCAGAATCTATAGTCTTACAATACTTATTAGTGTTGAAGTATAAGACTTGTAACATCTTGTTATTGGGTTCTTTTGGAATCTTTTGGGGGTTTTTTTGTCCAACATATTACTTATTCTCCTTCACCTGAAATTTGATCTAGCATGTATATTTTATTTTCACTTAAATCTTGTATTCATTCACAGGACTGAAGAATCTTGCAGCATACCTCTTTCTAAATTGACAGACTTGCAGGCACGTAAGTATTAACTTTCCAACCATTTACTATTATCAAACTCACTCTCCTTTACTTTTCCCTGCCAGACAAAATCTATCAAATCTCTTGCTGAAATCCTGACACACCATCTTTGGCAGTCTCTGATTTACTAACTTAACCCTATAGGGGAAAAAAAGCTCATATTGTCAAGGACCAAAGCCTTAGTGGAGCAATGCTATTCCCAAATCACCTCTATCCCTGTTCAAAACTTACCTATCTAATCATCAGTTCTAGAATTTCATAGAAAACTGACATCAAGCTCATCATTTCATAACGGACTTTAAATTTGTGAAGGGATTAAAAAGCAGTAAAATTATTCACTTACCTGAACATAATTGATGAAGTCTTCCTTAAAAAGAGTTCTACGCTGTATTCTGTATTCTAGATCTGAAGCCTTCTTAATGATAGCCCTGAGGAGAAAGTCATTTAAAATGTTAACACTTGAAATGCACAGAAGTCAAATAACCTTGGGATTTTTTAAGTTTATTTTTAATATATTTAAAACAGATATTCACCATAACATATAATTCCCAAATAATTATCCTTCATAAGCAAGTACATATTCTCTTACATGATTATTTGTGTGTGTGTGTGTGTGTTTTATTAGTATAGTTGATTTATAATATTAGATTAGTTTCAGGTACTTCTATATTTTTAAGGTCATCCAGATGTATTTTAAAACTTTCATGAAAATCACCTTAATTGCCAGAACCACTGACACTCCTACCAACAAAGCAAGTGTTAAGTAGTAAACATTTATGTGTGGTATTAGTGAAGATTTCTCTTCCTCCGAATTCAGGTTACCTAGGTTTTAATAATCAAATTTCTTTCCTAAATTCCTCTTACTTCTAAATTTTCAACATGTAGATAAAAAATAAAAAAAACCTAGAGTGTATCAACTTTTATTATTACTACAAAGGGCTTATGGGAGAAGACTCACTGTATTTAGCTAAGGAATGAACATACAATATGTGTATGTCAGGAGACTTTAAAGCAAGATGTGCAAGACCAGTAACTGTCTCCAGTTAATGGTAACAATAATAATATTTACTGAACAATTATTAAGGACTCCACAATGCTATATGGTGTGTCCTTAACAAACATTTCCTTTGAGGTTCCTGCCCGAGCATCAACAATATGAGTTTATCAATCATACAGTATAAAGCTTACATATATTCTTTAAAGGCTGTATATACGTATACACGAGTATATACCAGTGTTATCACGAGGGATTTGTACTGTCTAGACTATATTTCTAAAAAGTAAAATTTGCACAATTACTATATTTGATATTACTTTGATAATCAGGGAATCGCAGCGCTACATTTGCAGTCATTTTAAAATGAAGAAACAGCCACGAAAAATCATTAAAAACTATTAAACTTAATTTTAACACACTACTGAATGACAACTATATACTGGACGTTGTTGGCTAAGTTCTGGGGAAGAACACGAAACTGAAACGGCCCCATCTTCAAGCTTTGTTAGAAAGATGTATCTAACTCCTCCTGGGCTCCCTCGGCATCTGTTCGCATCTCTAGAGGAGTACACTCTGTTTCAATCACCGCACTGTAACCAAAAAATTTCATGCGCCTGTCTTGCCCACCATAGACAGGGCAGTTAGCTCCTGACGGGTAGGGACCCTGGTTTCATCACCTTTACAGTCTCAAGACCTGGCTCCATGGAAAGCTGTCAGTATGTTTGGGGGTGGGGAGGTGTAAATGGGCAGATAACCTTGCAATGAATGAGAAATTAATTTTGGCCATCATCAAAATCGGGAAATGGGCTTCTGCCCAAAATAAAAACAACCCGAGTGCCCCCCACCCCTGCCCCCAGCCACACACACAACCCCCAACGCTCCAGCTCTTCCTCTTCCTCTGCTCTCTCACTTAATCTCCGCGCGACTGAACAGTCCAATGCGCTCCAGCTGTTCCAATTCGGGGAGTCGATCTTCTATGCGTTCCTGAATTATCTCCGCCATGAGGTCCAAACTCTACTACCCAGGGTAGATGCTCTCACCACAGACACGCGCAGGAAGCCCCAACTTCTATTCCGGAGACCCAGCCTCAACGCTCCCACGTGCTGACGTAAAGTGTGTCCTAGGTCCCGCCTTTTCCGCTTCCGCCGCCTCCGCCGCTGGACAAGGCCCTCTGGCTCCTGCGGCCGCTGTCTCCTCCCGGTGGCTGACTGTGGGGTTGCAGGTAGGACTCCGCCTCGCCAGAGGACGCAAGAGGACAGGAGTGGAGGGGGCGGGGCTATGATGGGGGCGGGGTTGTGATGGGGCGGGGCTACCTGCGCGTGAGGATAGACCTGCGTATCCGAAAAGCACCCCTGGGTCTAGAGGGGTTACCTGAAGGAGGCAGGAAGTGAATTTTCTGCAAGGTATTATCTCCTTTTATTCAGCTCCCATCCCACGTCCTCGCTTTCCAACTCCAACAACCAAAAATCAAACAAAACAAACAAACAAAAAAAAACAAGGACGAAGGATGGAGTATATCGTACAATTATGGTAAACATTTCAGAAAGTCGTCATGAAAATCGTAGGAGGAGTTAAATCTGATCAGGCTAAGCTGTCTTTGCTTTTGACTAGATTTAGTAAAGCAATGTGGTAATACTGGTTTTTCACGCGCCCATGAGAATTTCTAATTCGATGATTAATTTTTAAGTGGGGAAACATTTTTATTATTTAAAGAATGATACTGGATTTGTAGACAAGATCTTTCAAAACATGGCCCTGGGTATTAGGAACTATGGGGGGTTTTTTGAGAAAGGGATCTTAGTATTGAAAAGTTTGGGAATTACCCAAATAAAAATCAATAAGATAAAGACCCTCCTTGAATCATTGCCCAAGCAACTTAGCATTTCTAAGAGAACGACAGAAAACCTAGCTTGAAAATGACATTATTGGTATAATTACTAAACCTAAAATATTAAGTATATTACTCGATTCTTTTTAAGTTCTGGAAGATGATTTTAAAAAGAAACCCAAAGCAGGAGTTCTTGCTAGACCTGTTTATTTCAACATTGGCATTAGTACCTTCATCCTCTGTGTGATTTATGAAAGGGGAATATAGGCTTAGCAATTAACCAGGTTCCACTCCTGTGCCTTTCCTTTCTTTTTTTTTTTTTTCACATTTTATCCCACTAGTCTCAGAATTGAGGCAAAGGCTGGCTTAAGCGTCAGCATTTCTTGTTTATCTCAGCTGTAAGACATGAGGGAAGTGGAGGAAATAACAGATGTAAAACAAAGGTGGAATTTCTTTGTAATAGGACAATCTCTGGGGGCTGTGTAAACAGTAAAAGTAGGGATGATAAGATCCATGTGGGCAGGGGATTTTTGTTTGTTTTGTCTACTTAGATACCTGGGAGCTTAGAACAGTGCCTAAAATGTAATAAGCACACAGTAATAAAAAGCATGACAATAAGGAAAGATACTTACTAAATCTCTTTAGGTACAAGAGTCAGCATGCTCTGAGAGATTATAATCTTTCATTTCAAGGCAAATATGATGAATTACTACATCAAATCAACCCAACTGTAAATACTTTCCTCCTTTATTTTCAAATTTAGCTTCTATGTTTCTCTTGCTCTAGGAATTGTCATAATGGTAATGGCAAAGCCTTCTTTTGCATTTCATAATAACACCTATCACTTATCTAGGACTTACGTGCACTGTTCTAAGTTTTCTATATATTAACTCACCTACTCCTATTGCAAATATTTTAAAATATCAACCCAAGAAAGAGCTCTTGATAAGGTTAAAAACTACCTAATGGAGAAAACCCAATACAACAGTAAAAGCTATGTTTGATTAATGCCCACTGGGTCTCAGAATCCTTAGCTGAGCATACTTTCTAATTAAGGAACCCAAGGGTCTGAGAAAAAGTACTCAAGTCTGAAGCTCTAAGGTGTATCTCAGAAAGCTTGATATGTCTTGTGGTCTTTTATTTGACCTTTAAAATTCACATAAATATCAGATTAGTAAGCAAATACTGACTGGGAGGGGCACAAGGGAGCCTTCTGGGAGCTGGAAATTTCTATATTTGATCTGAGTGGTCATTATATGGATGTATGCATATGTAAATATTCATCCATTGAGGTATTCACTTCATATTCATGCACTTTAAGAAAGTTATACTTTAAAAGAAAAAATAATAATAACCAGGCCTTCTCTTTGAGGATCTCATCCTCTTTAAGAGCTTTAACTATTTTTATGTGTGTCAGGGTCAAACTATTGAAACACACACAAAAGACCAAAGCCTTCTCCCTCTCCAAAAGAGTTTGTTCGAATTTTACATTCTAGCCTACAATATATTAGTATTTGAATACAAATCATTGTGATTTTTTTCCAGCTTATCAAGAAAGATTAATCCCAGAAAGAGGATGTACCCTGCTCACCCCATGTTAGAGAAACCCATGGCTCTGTTGCAGTACTCACGAGCCAGTTTGGAAAGTAGTACAGAGGGGTCTCCATCGGGGTCCCAAGACAATCTTTTAAGGAATCTGACAGATGAACAGTAGTCAGATGTTTGCAAAGCAAGTTAAAATTTCCATTATGGCCTTCAAATTACTGAAATGTAAACTTCAAAGTAAACTTGAACTTTTCCCTAGAATATTCATTGTCACATCTGCAAGTTCACCAACAGCTCAGTAGTTAAAAACAGCAGGAAAAGAAACGCTTTTTACTACTGTGATGATGATGATGATGATGCCAATGATGCAAAGAGATGTACCTAATTTCAGTGATAATGAGACACCTGGACTCCCATCCCCCTTCCTTGTTCAAAGTCCGCTGCCCACTTCTCCCACACAGAGAGCCCTGGTAGACTTCAAAGTCAGAGCAGAAGTGATAGACACAGTCTGGTCTTTGATGCCTAAGAACACGGGATCCCTCAGTATGATGCGAATGCCTAGCATCTGTACTTTGCAAACCTTTCATGTTATCTCACGTTGCTGACAACAAAAGCTGAAAAGTTTGAGGTGACACATTACACACATTAAAATATTTGGAACCAGGAACTTTTCATTTCTTGTTCTATTATATCTAGCTTCTTTTTACTTTGCAAACCACACTGGATAGTAAATTACTTCTGGCACGCAGCCTTGTCAGCTTGCCAAATTTCAACTGGAGCAAGTTTTTACAGCCAGACTAATAAGCTCTGAAAATTAGGAGGTAAGTATAATGGAAATAATGACATGGTCTTTAACTGCAGGAGAATAGAATGACAATGTGAGATTCCAATAGATTCTACTTTTCGAAGTTTTTTTTACTCTAATGAAATCTTTTCTAAAAATTTTGGGTTATACTAGTTCAAAACACATGTAAATGAAAAGAGTTTCATTTAATTGGTAAAAAGTATTTTTGTGGGGTTTTTTTCCCCTGTGGCTTAAGTTATTGCTTTTTGCAAACACGGGGAAAAAAATAAAAGATAGAATATGGTGGTTTGGGGTAACAACCTACTATTAAAACAAACTGCCATCTTGAAAAAACATGTTCTGAAATGATTGGCTTCCAGGATGGGGCCTGGTGATTGTTTGTGTATGAATACATTTCATCAAAGCCATAGCTGATTAGCTACATCAACTTTTTTCCAGTTTGCCCCCAATCCAGATAGAAACCCAGTCCCTGCTAAGTAACTTTCAGAGCTTTATGGAACAAGTCTTCAAAATGTGGGAAATTGGTGCCACATTTAATTTTTATCACTGAAAGAAACAGGTGGTATCTGTTGTATCCATTTCTCTAAATTTAACTCTTACATCCATTCCCATTCACAATTTCCAAATGACAAGGGAAATTCTTTTTTCCCTTCTTGTTCTGCCTTCCAATTAGATTTGGACTGATTAACTTCACCACTACTTGCTCAGTCCCAAATTGTTTAAGCGAAAAAGAGGTTTGGAGTTATGTTGTGTGTGTGTGTTTTAACTATATGAAAATAATATGGTCTTGCTCCAAAAATGCCAGGCTTCTTAGTGTTCCCCAACCATACTGGGCTATTTTATATTTCTATTAACACCCACTATTTCCTGTGCCTGGGATGTCTTTTGTCACCTTATCCACTTGGCAAATTTAGTTCATGGAGAAAAAAAAAAGGAAGCCAGCCCTTAATGCCCCACTATCCCACCATCATTACTAATTTGTACACTTACTAATATACACTTATATAAAGGGCTCGGTCCAATACCATAACCACAACCCTTATGTGGCTATTGAGTACTTGAAATTTGGCTAGAACAACTGAAAAACTGAATTTGTAATGCCATTTGATTAGTTTAAATTTAAATTGCCACATGTGACTTCTGTATTTATAGCACAAATCCCTAACTGTCCCCTGAACGCCAGTATACCCAATTGCCTACTCAATATCTCCACTTGGAGATCTTACTAATTTCAAAATTAGGATGTCCAGAGGGAGGGTATAGTTCAGTGGTAGTGTGTGCCTAGCACGCATGAGGTCCTGGGTTCGATCCCCAGTACCTCCATTAAAATAAATAAATAACCTAATTACCTACTGCCCCCCCCAAAAAAAACCCCTGTCAAAGTTAGTATGTCCAAAACCAATTGGGGGAGAATGCTGTGTTCTCCCCCAAAATTTGCTCTGGCTATAATCTTCTCAATCTTGGCAATTCCATTCTTCCAGTTTCTCAAGCCAAAAACCGTGGAGTTGTCTCCAACTCCACATCTAATTTGTCAGCAATCCTCTCTGTCCTACAAAATACGGCCAGAATATGACCTGTCCCCATTCTTGCTACTGCAGAGTTCCCAGCGCACACCGCCATCATCCCCTATCTGGATTATTGCAAAAGCCTCCAACTGGTCTCCCTGCTATTCACCTGGCCCTCTTGAGCCTATTCTTAAAAGCAGCCAGTGTTCTTTTGTTAGAATCTAAAAGTTAGACCACATCACTCCTCTTCTTAAAGCCCTGCAGTGGCTTCTGGACTCAGAGTAAAACCTAAAACCCTTTCACATGCCTACAAACTTCACACCGCCCTGTGCCCTGCCCCTCCCTTTCCTCTCTGACCTCCTTATTTCTGACTCCTCCCTAGTTTCCGCCACTCCAGACACATTAGCAGCCTCCTTGGTATCCCTCCACACGGCCATGCAGGGTCTTTGCACCGGCTCCTCTCTCTGCCTGGAATTCTCTTCCCCAGGTGAACTCTTGGCTCAGTCCCTCACCTCCTTCCGATCTTTCTCAAATATCACTCTCTCCGGGAGGACTTTCGTATCTAAAATTGCAGCTCCTACCCTCCAACAATCCTTACTCTACATTCTTGCTCTTTTTCCTTCCATATCACTGATCACCATCTGACATAGTGCAGTAGTGTTTATTATTTGTCTCTCTTCAAGCTTACACTGAAACATAAGCTCCATGGAGCTGAAATGGTTTGCTGCTCAATCTCCAGAGTTAATTATGCACATAGTAAATGCTCATTACATATTTGTGGAATAAATGAATGAATGTTTGTGTGGTTGTACATCTACCCTTTATAATACTACGACTTCCGTGACAGAGAGAACTAATATTTTATTTGTCTTTGAAGTCCCTAAAACCTAGCATTGGAAAACATTAGATACTCAATAAACATCCACTGAAAAGAAACAACTCTACATTACACATAATGCCTGTTATAAGAGTCACTCACGGAGCTTAATATGCCCAAAACCCTTCCTGAAGGAAACTCATCTACCCACAGCTACATTTTGCTTACCTCCTGACTCTGGGCAATCTGACACTACTGATCAGGCCACACGGAAGCTCAAGGACCACCTATAATATACCCTGGGCATGAAAAGATGAACTGAACTAACTTAACTATCCTTCTTTGGACCCTGAATTAAAATGTAAAGAGCGAATTCCTTGATGGTAACATATGAGTGAAAACCAGAGAGAATCCATGCATTAGAGGTAGGAGTTTGAGGAGTCTGGCAAAGCAAAGTTATAAGGAAGCAGAAACTGAGTACGTAGAAACTATGAGATGTAGAAAAGGTGTACAGGGTAAAATAGAATGGCAGCAAGAACACAGTACCAAAGAGAAAATGGAGAGTCACAGATTCACATTATTGAGAGTTCCCTGGGGTGAGGTCCCACAAACTCCTACAACTGAAGTCCCGTTTGAAACTGTTTTGAGTCCAGTCCTCTAGAAGATCTGTGCCCCTTTCTTGCATTGTGTCAACTTACACTAGTGCCCAATTGCTTGAGGTGCCTTAAGACATAGTCTCTGTTCTTGACAACCCTCACCCCCAACTAAAATACCATTCTTGGTTCCTACAGTTGCTGTCACCTGTAGAAGAGGGAGGGTATAGCATTGTCATCTTTTCTACCAAATGATACATTTGAGATGTTCTTCAAAGCCTTAGGCAATTGGCCCTTTGAGCTTTGAACATTTATGGTGAAGCACAGGGACAAATGTTCTCTTTGGAGCCATTTGGTTTCTCTTAAAGTCACACTGCCACGGTAGCTAGAATCCACTTGTACAATGTGAATATACCTTGCTTTAAACAGATTTGAAGCTCTTGATTCACAGCAGTAGATGATTATGTGGTCACTTTTAACAATCTTTTATTTATTTATTTTTATCACAAGAGTAATATATTGTTAGAAATTCAAACACTGTATTCTTTTAAAAAGTGGGATTTATGAACCACAAGAGCCACAAAACTCAGGTTCCCTTGCTACATTTCAGTGAATCTCGTTGGCTTGGGAAAACACAAAGCACCTAAGGAAAAGGGCTTTTGGCTTCAAAGACTTGGTCATAATCTTTCTCTTTTTCCTTCTCCATTAGTAGCCCTCCCCTAGGGGTCCACACAGCTGCCACTACCCAGAGGCAGCCAGCTATTTGAAAATGCACTCACTCCTTTGCTTAAGGGGCAGTGGGGGCATAACTGTTAAGGCCACCAGCTTTATTTTGAGTACATTTTGGCAGTATCTACCAACATTTTAAACATGCATGTGTAAGGCCCAGCTATTCCAACATGTATGAATCTATCCTACAGAAACACTTACAAAAGTGCACTACCATATACAAGAGTGGTCACTGAAGCAATGTTTGTAATAGAAGTGTATCCAGGAAGTGGCTAAATAAATTATAGTACATCCATACAATGGTATGATATGCAACTATTAGAGATAATGAGGGGGGTGGGAATAGCTCAGTGGTAGAGCACATACTTGGCATGCACAAGGTCCTAGGTTCAATCCCCAGTATATCCATTAAATTAATTATTCATTCATTCATTCATTAAATAAAAAGGCAATTTGCAGAATAGTAGATATTGTATACTCCATTTTAAATGTGTGTATTGTGATATGAGCAAAATAAAAAGCTAGGAGACTTGCCCACCAACCCATTTGTTATCTCTGAGAAGTGGAATTGGGACTTTATGTCTTACTATATTGTCGGGTGATATAACAAAGGTGTATTATTTTTATAATTTTCATTTAAGTTAAACATTTCAATAGCGAGAAAAGAAAAATGAAAGAAGAGGCTTTAGAATCAAACTCTGGTTCAAATCCCAGCTCCACCATCTTTTTCAGGTTAGCTGGGACATGAAAATGAAAACTTACTTTATCTTCACTTCTGATTGACACTTGAGAGCAATTGCTTGAAATACCTCAATTTTTAGTTTACACAGTGTTGTTTTTAAACATCAGAGAAGATTCTGCCTTGAGAAACTGATGATACGTTTTTCATATGAGGACCAGTTTTTGTAAGGTGAATGATTTCCCTCCCTAACGTTATCTGTTTGCTAATAAGATACCCGTAATAAATAGGGCATATTCTGTCTCTTTCAAAAATCCTGCTCTCTTTTCTCCCCTTCTCACCCTAAGCCTCCACAACCTGGGAGCTGTCCAGGTACAAATTAACATTTAAAAAGCTCTCTGGTTGTTCACACAAGCAGCTCTATTGTTGCTCTCTCCTTTACAGCCTTGGTCTGCTCAAAAACCCACATTCAAATCTGATCACATCCACTCCAGCCCTTCAGCACACAGGTATTGTGGTGGAGAGGCCGCTTTTGGCTACAAACCCCTTTATTCATTCTAAAATAACTTCATTCATCAGGTCCATTGAACAACTAGTTTGTGTCCATCACAGACTTTGACAAAGCATCTTTGCCTACCTTGTCACTAATCCTTACCGAAACTCTGTGGGTGGGTGAAGCTTCCTTTCACGTAGGAGTGAACCAAGGTTCCAAAGGGTGAAGTGACTTGCCCAAGTTCACACAGCTAGTAAGTGGGGGAGCTAGCTGGAAAATCTAGGCTTTGGGGTTACAAAAGGCCACTAACGATTCCTTATCGTTTTCTTTCTCTGTCTCTCTCTGTCTCCCTCCCCCCCCCTTTTAAACCAACTAGTTTTAAAAGCCAAATACTACTTTAAAACATGTAAAGAAAAACAGCCTTCCCCTACCCTACCCGTTCCTTCTCTCCTATTACCGCGCCCCTGTGTAGCCCACGTGCAAGTTTTTCAGCTATGTCTAGTGGTTTACCCCCAGATTCTATGCAAACGTATGGCTGGTGTGTTGCACAGATTTAACCACGACGTAACTAAAATGCCACTCTACTGTCCATTCCCTCGGCTCCTTTATACTTGGTTCCCGGGGTCACCCACCCCGCCCAGGTTGGAAACTGTCGAGTCTCGTCTCTGCGCTCACTCCAGCACCCCGTTGCAGTAACGAGCCCGGCCAGGGCCAAGGGACCACCACCCTGGGGACTGAGCGATTGGCCTCCCCCGGCTCGCCCCGGCCTCACCACAGACCCCTCGCCGGCTGCGGATCGGGGTCCAGGCGGTGGTCTGTGTCTGGGATCGAGGATCGGGCAGGAGCGAGGGCCGGGGTCGTAGGCGAGGGTCGGGGTTGGAGGGAGCGAAGAAGGTCAGGATCGGGGGCCGAGGGCCGGGGCCAGGGGACCAGGTTCAGAGTCGGGGTGGAGGCGCGGCCGGGCGCGGCGGTGGAGGCGGGCACAGGGAGCGAGCGAGGCGGAGCGGAGCCCGCAGCGTGCGCCCCCCCGCCCGGCCACCGTGGCCCTCGAGGGTCTCCTGCCGGCCGTCGGGAGGCGGCCGCGTCGCCGCCGGCGCGGGGCGGGCACCGGAGCCTCAGCTTTCCCGGCCGCCGCCACTCGGCCCGAAGACCTCTCCTGAGCTCGGGTTCGAGGGTAGCAACCCTGCCCCTTCCTCGGGATGGGCAGGTCCACAGTCCCGCAGCTTTGCTCCAAATAACAGCTCCTCCACGCCCTCCAACGTTCTCTTCTGGTCCCCTTCGTATGTTCTTTATCAGACTGAGGGGGTCCAAGACTTGAGCCGTTTCGGAGAGAAATTTCCTGTTTATGGAGGGGGGTGGTCTGTTTCCATTCAGTGTGATGTATCTTCTTACTGGCCTCCCACCAACTCTGTCCCCTTTCCTCCACACACACTCATCCTCCCCAAACTGTCTTCACAACTACAGGCTAAATCAACTTTTAATTTACATTATTATAAATTTGAAAATACTTTTCCCAACGGATCTGTGTAATACACTGTGATTATATCGCCTGTCTAGTCCCTAGGGTTAATCATTGTCTCAGTTCTTTGTTAAGCTTCCCTCTCATTCATTTTTCCCAAATGTTCTGCCCAAACTGTAAGTCCCTATTCATTCAGACTCATCAGGTCATCTATTTTGTTTTTTCTCGGGAATATTCCTTCCATTCCAATCTTAACTCTTGCTCATGAGGCCAATTGCACAGTTGTCGTTCTGGGATTTCCCTTCATCATCATCCTGGGAATTTTCCTTATTTTTTTGTATGAGTCCCCTGTGTCCTAGATTCCATGTCTTGTTTTTGTCTCTTATTTTGATGCAGCATATCTTGTGGTAGCTTCCTGAGAAACAGTGTAAAGGAGGTAATTTTTTTTGAGATCTTGCATGTGTGCAAATAGCTTTATTTGACCTCCTCGCTTAATTGAAGTGATTAGTTGTCTGGGTATGTAATTCTAGATTGGAATTCATTTTTCCTTATAACTATGAATTATCTTCTAGCTTCCAATATTATTGCCAAGAAGTCTAATGAAATTCTTACCTTTGTACATGGCCCATATTCCTTTGTGTATTACTCTATTTTTATTATTTCTGGAAGCTTTGACTGTTTTCTCTCTTTGATGTTCTGAAAAGCACAATAATATGCCTTGATGTACATCTTTTCATTCAATGTGTTAGACACCCAGAGGCCCTTTCAATTTAGAAACTTTTGTCCTT